CCTTCTATATTTAAAAAAAGCAAACTTTGCTTTAAGCAACATAGAAAGAATTTGCCTTGCAGCATGCTGTAAACTCAACAATCAGATGCACCACTATATTCTTCTAAGGTAATTGGTTTGTCGTTACTATTTTAAGCACTTATTCTACCCTGGCTCTCCGTTTTGTGTTGAAACGGAGAGCGTTTCCGCGTCTTTTTCCTTAGCCACTATATTGTTGGCCTGTAGACGCCATTGAGAGGCATTTTTCTTTGGTCCTAATCGTATAACTTCATAGTCGTGTGGCCTTGGACACATGGTAACCGGACCTCCCAGCCGGGAGAGAGAGACTCTCCTTTGTTCTAAGTCACCCATACGGACACAGCGCTAACCTTTTGCTGACACCTGAGCCCCGGCATTTCTCTAAGGTTTCAGGCCAATGCGAGCCGCCCTGGTCCACCTGCCCCTGTGCCCAGACTGGGAGAGCAGCCGCACCTGAACCCACCGCTCCGGCCCGGGGATCGCTCAACCTTGCCAAGATGCCGATCTGGTTTCCTACCAGCACAGAACACGATACGGTCAGCGTCTACATCCGTCCCGTTCCGTCCTGCCTCTGCTCCTCTGCCTCCTGCCTTCACCTCTACGACTACGACTTAGAGTGCATCACAACAGTGTTTTGAAACGGTCGCCCTGTATCATATTAAAATTCAGGCCGGATTTATGTTTGATGAGCAGGGAGTGAGGGGTCGGTTGTTTTCCTTTCTCTAAATAATAAAACACTGCGGAGAGAATGGGTTACTAAATAAATGGCCACCAATTGATAATGGCGGATCAAGTCCGCCCATTGAGGCAACTAATATATCTGTCAAGGACTTGCCAAAGGTGATACTTAAATGTAATTCAAATGCAGACAATAGAACAAATATCTGCTGTAAAGATGAAACATTTAAATCTATCTGAAGCAAACCTATTAACAAACATTTTATTTACGGATTAGTACTTGAGCTTTCAAGCAGAAAATGACAAACAAAATCTAGTAGCATCTTCTTAAAGGCCAGAAATTTCTGCTTTTCTTTGTGTTATCTCTTGCCTTTAGACAGATGGTTGGAAAGAAAATAACGCCAATTGGAATATGTCACCGTGGGTTTAAGGATATATTATATTGTATTTATATAGAAATCTGAGGATTAATACAAAAAAAATGATAAACATTCATTGAACCTTCACCCTCTCCAAAACCATGAATTCAGCCTAACCAGACAACCGATGACGAACCGCAATAATCTTTTCCCTTCCTTTGTCGCTCAAAATAACCGTCACAAATTCAAGTGACAGCCCGTCATTGGGTGAGTGTGAATAAAAAGAGGCAGGTGGGAAGGAATAAAAAACATCACATGGAAGTCAGCAAAAACTCTACAATTGCAAATAGCAGATGAATCCCTCAATCTCTCGCCCGTCCTCATTAAAATCCTAACTTCAGAGTCTGCAGAGCCTGACAACAGAGAAACACGAGAGAAACATGCAAAGGACAGGAGGACAACTAAAAAGTCACCCAGTGGACGGAAACTTATCCAGGGATCCTCTGCGACCAGTTTTGTGTGCGCGTGTACGTTCGCTGACAGCGGCGTTTGTCTGTAGGTCTGCGAGGCCGCTGACTCACTGTTGTGGTTGGAGTGTGTGACTGTCGAGCGTGTGACTGTGTCAGTATTATACAGTCGTCTGTGGGTGGGAGAGCCGGGCTTAAGTGGAAAACAGCTGTCCTTTGTGGCTTTGCAATGCGGCCGTTCCCCCCATCGTTGGATCGCGCTGCTCGACAATAGCGCGCGCCAATGGCTTACAATGTCAGAACCATGTTGTATCCCAACGCCATCTAATTAAACCCATTTAATTCTATGGCGGGCTGCAGCCGGAGAGGCACTTATCTAGAGAAAGAGCAGATTGACAGGCTGATTCATTATTCATTCGCGAATAAAAGAGCGGATAAATGGGCGACTGACAAGAGAGTAAATAAATAAATAAAATAAAATGAGAGGCCATCATCGAATTGAGCGTGCAAGGTAACTGTAAAGCCTCGCGTCACACTCGGTGCTCCGTTAATGCACTCAGTGCCAGCCAACGCGCTATGACCTTCGCCGCGTGTCCTGTGCCATCGTCCGCTGATGCCGCTGCATTTTCCAGGTAAGCGCACGTACGACGGCGTCGGCCCACGGCCTCGGCGAACCGCGCGGGGCGACAATGCGCCTTTTGTTTTCTCCCAAAACGAATACAAAAGCACTCTGGTATGAAAGCCCTCCATACCACCGGCTCGGCCATTATTGCGACAACAACCTGCTCTGTTCCACAGCCTCTGTGTTTGGCTCATTAGTGATGTAACCAGCTGGGATGGAGCCAAGAAAAAGCCATTTCAACCGTGTCAAAACAATGGCTCCAAACCACCACGGCCAGTCGCACAGCATCTCCTCTGATTAAAAACCCCGTCATTGACTTATTTCCTTCATGTCGCCCGTTCAAGCACCTCTGCCGTTGCCCAATGATTCCAAGACGGGTTTATATATAGCAGCAGTCCTCATATTGGTTCACCTTAAGTGCTTTGCAACAACACAGGAGATTTTGAGATTACAGATTGCTGCTTTTCATTTAGAGATGTTAATGAAAGAAAAGGCCTCACTCAGATGTGGACGAATGATGACAAAAACAAGAGAAGGGTGACAGAGAGGTGAGCTCAATCAGAGGCCTTTCCCCCCCGTGTCCTGCTTTAATCTGCCCTGTCAAACACTCCCTGCGTGCCAGAAACCAGGATTAATGGTGTTCTTTGTAACATTGAAAAGTCAGTCCTCGGTCTGCTCTTTTAATTGTGCAGGGACCCTGTTTCTTCTTTGGGTGAATCCAGGAGAGGTGGGCTGACAAGAGCTGCAGTGACAACTGCGCTGCGATCAGACTCTCCTGCCCACGGCTGTGTCGATCAAATCATGTTAAAAGGACAAAACCAGGTTTGACTAATGCGAGTAAATCCAAAATAAATAAAATAGAACGTGGGATCCGAGTCTCACCCCCATTGCAACATGACAGCAAAACTGTAAACAAAGAGGCGTTCACCGCCATGATCGGCAGTATCAGTCGAATGAATTAGAAATCCTGCACAACCGCCTCCCAGGAAAGCTATTTTCCTTTCACCCAGAGTCCCTTGGAAGTTAAACATTACGACCGCTATCCTGTAATTGCAGGACAACTGCAGGGTGACACGTTAGTGTCCTTCCCTGTAACTGGTCTGCGGTGGTTGGAAAGTGTAATGAGATTGGGGAGCAGCTGCTGCCTATGGCCTCACTGGGGGAGGACGTAGACCACATGGGCGCCGTTTGGCACATCGGGGTGGCGGAACCAGAACTCAATCGCAGATTTCCAAACAAAAGTAAGCCGACAGGGACCCAGAACTCACAACCAGGGTGACGACATTCAATGACGCGACAAGAGACACACTTGGCTTAAATACACTGGGAAGGTGCAGGTGATTGGACACAGGGGGAAACAATCAGGGACACAGCAGACAATCACAGGGGAAGACAGGAAGTGAAGCTAAACCAGGGACACAAGTGGCAGGAAACTACAAAATAAAACAGGACACGGACCCACAAAGTGACACGCTTGTATGCAGGGTAGCTGTCAGTAACATAAAACTACATTTATGTGCAGTTTTTTTAAGTGCCATTCATGCCATAAGAGACACAAAAACGCACAACCCCACAGATCCCGCTAGGCGGCTGGTGGAAGTACTCATGCACATGGAGTTGCAAAAAAAGGGATGATATTTGGCTGAGAAAGGTGCTGTGGGGATGACGGTGTTCAAAAGCTGCAACTGCATCTTTTGGAAGCAGGAAATAGCTGAATTGAGCCACACCATAGGGTCTGTATTCCTGAGCTGCACTGTACCTTGGTTTTATTCCGTCTCCCTTCCTTTTTCTTTCTCTCATGCTGTGTTATTTTTAACACATCTGTTTTGAGAGTGTGTCTCTTTGGTGAGGATTCCAATCAGACAAGCGACCAGCAGGTGAGGGAAGATATTCTGACATGGAATTCCCAATGGGATTATCTGCCGAGCTTCGGTGGACCATCTGGCCTTTTAAGACCCAAACCTGGCAGGTGCCAGTGCCAAAAGTCCCCCAGGCTCACTTTCAACACATTTGAGTGTAAATGATTTCCTGCTCTGTGACTTACAGGCATATTGCATGTGTGCAAGTCAGCACACTTTGTGGCGACCCTAATGTACCTCCAATTGTGTCAATTTTTACTCAACATCACATTCCTTATGGCACCGATCCAAGCCATTGATACTATCAAGGTTAACGTTGGATTATTTTTACTACAGTATGTCGGCATTAACTTGTTGTCATTGGATCGTTGTGTACCCTATCCGACATGCAGTGCTGCCGGGGACTAGAAGCGAGCCAGAGAGGTGCTGGAAGGATGTCGGTCCACCACTGCGTCTAAAGCGGCCTCGTTTCAATCCCCACATGTGTCTTGAATGGACAACTCGAGGCTTCACGCCCTCCCATTCAAATTACGCATCGCCTGCCGGCACCTTGCGCTCCCCCCAAAAAAAAAAAAAACTTCGACAGCGATCAAACAACTGGTGCATTAAAGATCGCATTGTGTGTGTGCGCGCCTGTGCGTGCGTCAGTGTGCCTGCCTGCGCGTTGTGCTGCCCCACGCTTGTCTAACACCCATTTCTGCAATTCACCGAGCGTCAATCATCTGTGCAGTGCGCGCGACGCTCGACGTGAGTCTCGGCAAAGCTCCCATTGATGAAAATAAATAAATAAATAAATACCCCCCCCCCCCCTCGGCGCTGCATTCAACGTCACCAGCACATGCACCCGCGAGCATGTCAGTCAGTCGGTCAGTCGGTGGGTCCTCAGCACACATGCTGCACAATCACACCACAAATGACACACAACCGTTACGATTAGAGGCAACGTCCCCCCTTTACCCCCCCCCCCCCCCCCCTCCCGCGCGCTGAGGAACCCTACCTGCATTTTGTCCCAGGTAAACACCTCGATGTCCACATCCCAGGCGATGATGGTCACCATCTCCAGTTTCATATTTATCGATGGGATTCCCTTCAGTGGTTAGTTTGTTTTTTGGGGAGGGGGGGGGGGGTGGGGGGCAAGATGGGGGAGGCTGGGTGTTACGTCTTTCTCCTCCTCCAGTGTAGCCCGTCATCTTCTACTGGTGGGATGAGTAGAGTTCCGCCGGGTTCTTCGGCGGGAACTTGAGGTAAAGTCCAGCCCGTTCCTGTTCGGGTGGGACTCCTGGCTGCACGGCCGCGCTGCTCAGAGTGAGGCCGCTGCAGCACCCGCACAGACTTTTTTTTTTTTTTTCTACTTGCCCCCCCCCCCACCGGCCCCTCATTGACGTCATCACCATCCCCACGCTCGTTGTGTTTTTACGCCACTACGGCGCTCGACGATCCGCGCAAGGAGCACTGCAGAATTCACCGTCCGGTTTATTCCGCTTTTTCTTGTATATTTTCGCCGAGCTGCCGGACAGAGTCAAATGCTCGGGGACATTAAACGGGGCCAAAAGGGATCATTAAGTCATCAGTGTCAGTCTGACCAGTTAGTTGCCTTTCATGCCTTTTGAACAGTGGCGACAGATACCAGGATCATATATAATATACACGTCATATGTAAACGCCCTGCATTAACCGCCATTTGTATGAGGCCCTTAAGGTCAGCGGAAGAAATACTTATTCTACAATTATGCAAACTAACACAAGACTATAGGCCTACTATAGATTCAAAAATCCACACCATACTAAGCCTAAATTATTCACATCAAATACCGAAAATTTCAAGGTCATATCTAAGGAGGAATGCATCTAAAAATCAGTCTTGTGATCAATATTTTTTTCTTAAATTATTATAATGAAATGTCATAGAACAGTAAAAAAAAGACACATCATATAGAGTCAAAAGACTTTCACGTCATACTAACAATCTAAAACGGTTCAGTTTATAAATATTCAATTTATAAAACAGAGAAGGAAGTTAAAGTTTGAGAAGCTGAACATTTTTGGTCTTTGTATTAAATTAATTAATTAACGATTATTGATCACGATCGATCGCTAATTGCTAATGCTAATTATCCTACCCTTGCTTATTAACGGACACGTACGATTTCATTCAAAAGCAACACTGGCGGACTCCAATCAGCGCAAGTCACCAAGAATGTGTGGAATGGTGGTGACGGTTCCCTCCTCGTTGTTTTTTTCTATATTGATTCATTTTGTGCTGATGTCATGCGGTGCTGTTGTTCCGTTTGGTTCCCGCTACTTCTCGTTCGCCAGTCTACTACATCGGAGTCTTGCTTTTGTGGCTGTTGAGACGGACTTCTGCTGTACTTTTAGTGCTGACCAGTTGATTGGAGATTAACTGTATCGTTGCTCGTTATCACACGTAATAAAGCAGCCGATGAAGCCGACTGCACCGCTGCTGCCGCGGCTCCTTTCTCCCCTTAATTCTGATGATACAGTGTGAAGCTGAAGGCCAATCCTTTAATGCATTTCTACAGAACATTTCACCACTGCAAAAAACCTAACTCAGATCTTTTTTTCCCCCCCATCACTCAGACCATCTCGCTACCAATAATAACTGCCTGCAAGGCCGAGGCAGCTAAGTCCCCTGTAAGCCACCAATATCAAGGCTCCTGACGGTGAGTGCTATTTACGTCCGTGTGTCTCAGGCATTGTCCACGCTGTGCACACGGAGAACATGAGCGAGATGTGGGAGGATGACCGTGACATTCCTCCACCCGACAGCATCTGTCAGTCACCCTGTCTGGAAAAATCTGTCTTTTGGCAGAAACTTGGCAGTTTCAAATTTCTAAAATCACACACTGAGCTCGAAAATGAAAAGCTCAGAAGTGATGCAGCAGAGCGTCTGTGCCACCTTTTCTTTTAAATCCACCCCAGTTTTTCTGCAATGTAATTGCTCGACAAACACTGTGATTTAGGGCCTGTGGGAAAATTCTCTTCAGAGTCTCAGGTCAACATAAAGTGGCAGAGATCCACCGCCATGCCGACAAAAAACGCCAGCTGCAGCAGGTGCTTCACTGGAGGCCACTGTGCCTGTGCTCAACCTCGCATTCAGGCTGGATGAGGGAAATCAAGTCCAACCTGATTTAGTTCAGCCTGTTCCACTCGAGTGTTAGTGCTTCGCTGTTTGAGCACTTGTAACCAGGGGAACTGCAGTTGCCATGGGATATGTAGAAAGATCGTGGAGATGCTCAGCTAATTTACCCCCCAAAAATATGAGGGTTTAATAAAAAAGATATGCCCATTTATTTTGTTTACAAACTAGCGTGATGTCAGCTTTTACATTTGAACCTTGTGGGCAGGATGGCAACGTGCATGGCCGCCTCTGCCTTCTGTGTATGAAAGGATGAATGTTGACATGCGGTCCAAAGTGCTCCGAGTGGTCCGAAGACAACGCAGGTCCTTTTACCATTACAGTTGTTAGAACCATTATCCTTGCCACTTTGAGAGCGGGTGAGAGGCAATAGCAACGTTCCCGATCCGGTGTAAAGCACCTTAAATGACACATTCAAATCCGTCCGCCAGCCCGACGGTTGGGCTGACGTCTGAAGAAGAAAGGGTTGGCAGCCGCTGGTGTAAAGCACTTGCCACAGACTCACAGGACAGCTCGTTGGAAATGTTTTTCATTATCAAAGCACTCCTCTGATTCGTTTTTTGCCACGGCTGATGAGTAGGATGGATCACTGTGGATGATGAAGCACTTTTCCTCCTCTGTGGCCTCATTCCTGCAGCTCGCCTTCTCCTCTTCATTCTCAATTCTCTTCCCCTCATTCACAATTCCCTCCGTTAGAAACCCGCGGTCGGCACGCCACAAAGCAACACCACGCTTTCTTTATCCCTTTTAAACGAGGATGCATCAGTGAGACGAGCGTCCGAAACATGCGTAAAGAATGCGGACGATAAGAACATTTTACCGCAAGACCTTTTAAGACGTGCTAATAACGGTATCAGCAGGTCTTTTATTTTAATATCGCTTCAAATTCTTGATGCTTTTGTCTGGAATAAATGAATACACTTACAATGTGCACTGCTACACTGTACATGCATCTTTGTTGTGAGTTGGACACCAATCTCTCATCTGAGCCAACAGCCAAGTGGCCATAACGTTTGTTGCGTCATGCACATGAAAAAGAAAATAGGAGATTGTTAGAATAAGGAAATAAAAGTCTGATTTTTTATTTTATTTTCATTTAACCCCTTCAGGCGTGTGTAGGTATCCGGGTAGTGGATCATCACGGTTGGCTGATACATGCAAAGTAGGAAAACTGTTCACAGAAGCATTGGAAGGAATGATGACTGTTGCAATGCACATGGCTCTAGGTGCACACACACACACACACACACCCACACACACACACACACACACACACACACACACACCATCTCTTCACTGCCAACCTCTTGCTGCACCAGGCTCCTTCTCTTGGCCCATGCAGCCAAACCAACCCCCCGTGCCAGCGCCAGTGCAGCTGTTGTAATCTAGGCCAAGCTATTTATAAAGCAGGCACCCAAGTACAGGCACAGGGAGACGGGGGGAGACAGCAGAATGGGAGGATGAAAGAGTGTCTACGGGGAGAGAGAGACAGATCCACAGAGTGTAGGTGGCAAAGCGCGAGGGGGGGACCAGAAAAGCACAAGGAGCCGTGGTGGCTGAGAGAGCTACAATGAGAGTGAGGGAAAATAGTGAGAGACTTAGAGAGAGAAAGGGAGAGAGGATCTGTCAGGTGCAAGAAACACCATGAATACCCGAGGAGCAGGCGTCAGCCATCAAATGTAGATGACGAGCACACGAGTAACTCTCCTGCAAGGCCTGGAATGTTTTGTTTTTTTATCCTGTGGTTTGGATTTGAGATTTTTTACACGACTTCGGGCATCAAGCTTTTAATCAACAGAGACATTTCCCAGAGGCCAAATGCGACACTGACTTCTTTTCCCTTAATCAACAAAAAGTAAAGTGCCGTCATGGGAAATGTTCACATGCAGCTGCACAGGTAGAATGTTCAATTTCCCAAGACCAAAAAACACCCCTTCAGGCAATGATTAGATATGACTACGTTGTTTGAGAGTGTGTGCGGTGCTAGTTTGCACATGTGCAGTACACAGTGTTCAGGATGTTCAGATTGGTTAGCCAGTGACACGCGTTGTAGGATGTTGTTCCTCTTTAAAGGAAAATGAGCTGATAAATAGTTGTAATTGTGGTCACTGTGTAGACCTACGTACTCACTAACATGCAATCCAGCAATCTTAGGCTGCACCACAGGCGTCTTTCCCAATTGTGGTTTTGGAACTGGAATGTTTGGTCGCACTCTGGAGCCACCTTTCAATGACATGGACGCGTAGACAAGTAATATGACAAAAGCTGCTTTTACAGACATGAGAGATGGCCCGCACCGTACGTCTCTGGTTCAAGGCCCACATCTAGTGGGACCGCAGCAGCTGTTTACTGTTTTTCTGACCTATACAGTCGCGCGGCTTAGGAGCCGGAGAGATGAGCCGCCGTGCAGCCGTGTGAGCGCCACAGAAGGCTGAGGAGGGGGGGGGGGATGATCGAGGAAGCACACAGCGACACGAGCTGATTGCTGAGCTTAGAAATAAGGTCAAACCTTTGGATTGGTGGCGCAGACTCTCCGACCCGAATGGGGGCACCGCCACGGAACACCAGGCACAACAAAAAGGAGGGGGCGGGAAAGAGGGAGAAGAAGAAGATGAAGTTCTTCTTCTTCATCTCCACCACCACCAGTTGGAAAGGGCCCGAGGTGGTGGTCTCACCACACGGCTGCTGGGTGCCATTTCCCGATGGAGGCAAATGAAAGAGGGAAACAAGAGCGATAGACAGAATTGGGGAGCTCGCTTTTCATTCAGTTGAACAATTAGTAAAAGAATGGAAGAGGGGGGGAGTTATGCTGAAGCCTCCATATCTTTTTCAGAGAACCAGAGCAACATGAATGAGACCAACTTACATGACGGGGAGAAGAAGCACACTGGTGGGAACAAATTAAAGATCTAAAGAAAAAAACAGGAACAAAGTGGAACCAAACACAAACAAATTAAGTCGGGGAGAGTCACATTCACAATTGCGATTCCATTTTCCAGCAAAGCAACAACAGGGAAAGAAAAGCGCAGAGGGAAACAACAGGCCGTCGATAGTCCTTTTCTCTGAATGACAACCGGCAGAAATTGATTTGGATGTCGGTCCCCCCTCATCTCTCTCCGCATAAATAACTCC